CCCCTTCCATCATCGAAGCCAGCTGTAGCTAGTCAAGTCTTTCTTACATGACGTCACTCAGACACTGACTCTTCTGCCTCCCAGGGCCCTTATTCTGCCCACCACGACTGGTAACCTGTGATAGCTTTCTTCCCCCAAAAAGAAAGAGAGGTGGATTCTGAGCATTCTGCACTGATAATTTGGAGTTGATTTCTGCCCAAATTCTAGGCTTACCTTGTTAGCAAAGTATGAGAAGAAAGGAGAATCTCTAGGAACCTGTATGGATTCTCTAAAAAGAAGCCATGCTCAGCTAACCTTACTGTTTGTTCAACTCTAATTTTTCTTTAAATGTAACATACACGGAGGAACAGTACCTATTATAAGTGTACAGCTTGATGACTTTTCACATATTGAACACACATGTATAACCAGCATCTGCATCACGAAGAGCAGCCCTCAACCCCTTCTCGTGTGACTCCCAGTCACTCCCTTCTGCACCGCCCCCTCCCGCCCCCAAATGCGCAGGAAGGAAAATCACTGTTCTGATTTCCAGCAGCTTAGATTAGTTTTACCTGTTTTTATGCAAATGGTATAAAGCGTGTGTACTCTTCTGTGTCTGGCTTGTTCACTAAATATGTTTGTGAAGTTCCTCCTCTGTGTTTTTGTCTGTAGTTGTAGGTGGCTCATTCTCACTCCTGTTTAGTATCCCTTTGTACTGATTTAGCTACTGTACTGTGGATGGGCATTTGGTTTGTTTCTAATTTTTGACTATTACAATGGTTGTGAACACTCTAGTATAGATAGGTACTAGTTTTATTTGAGTTATTTGGTAGCATCATTAGATTGTTAGAACAGAGACGTGTGCAGATTTCGGAGAGGTTCTTGGCAAACTTTCATGGTATTCTTTTCTTTATCATTTACATTTTTAAATTTATTTTTTGAGGGAAAGAAAGATCAATTTACTGTTCCATTTTTTAATGCATTCATTGGTTGCCTCTTGTATGTGCCTGACCAGAGATTGAGTCCGCAACACTGGTGCATCGGGACAATACTCCGAGCAGCTAAGCTACCTGGCCAGGGCTCTCATGATATTCTTGCTGACCAGGTGGAAAAAGGTGGACTAGATAAAAGAATAGTTTGGGAGATTCCTGATTCATGTTCTAGAATAATTCCAGCAGAGAGGAAGGCCTATGGTGATAGAGTATAGGGCTCTGCCTATCCTGGGCAACATTTTTATCAGTGGCTTCCAGGGAAGTTCGTTCAAATGCCTTCAATTTTGTATTTGAATTCGAAGGCATTAGAACTGACAAAATTAAGGTGGAAAAAATCCATTTCTAGCAGATGGGAATGATTCCTAAAAATTTACAAAGGAATGTAAAGTGTCATGTTTGGGGTCTTAAAAAAATCATTTTTCTAGTCCCAAAAAGGGTGAGAGGGAAAAGCTCATCCGTCTGAAGTGGGGCCAAAAGGAGCTGCTTTGGCAGTGAGTTCAAACCGCAACCCCGCAGTCTGTAAAATGTCTGCGTGTCCAGGGAGACACGGCAGTGCGGAGTGCCGTGAGTGCAGAGGAGAGGACTGCGAGCATGAGTTGTCTGGAGGCCACGCTTGTCACACCAGAGGCTGAAGAAACTGGGCTTTTAGCCTGAAAGAGGGAAGACTCAAGGGGACAGGACGTCCAGGTATAATGAGGAGAAGGGTCTTTTGTGGAAGAGACTTTCTTGATTCTGTGTAGCTCCAGAGGAGAGAGGCCTGGAATTACTGGGTAGAAGTTGTGAGGAAGATGTTTTCGGCTCACCGTAAAGAAGAGCTATTGATTTCTTTAAAAACGGAATGACTTGTCCACTAAAGGGTTGAGGTTTTATAGTCCCCGGGCATTCGAAACAGAAAATGGATTCAGTAGCATCCCAAGTTTTGTGTGTATGTATTTAAAACTAATGGTGCTGGAAGAATTGTAGGCTTACCATTTTTTTTCAGGGACTTCTTAGTTTGGGCATCTAAACTGTAATAAATCTGGGCATCTGATCCTGAGTGGATCTGCAAGCTTCATTCTGTTCTGGATCAACCTAGGCGGTGCTCTCCTGGCTTTTAGTTCCAGAGTTGATGCTGGGCCTTAGTGCTAGAACCAGCCTCCTACTCCAGGAGCCTAGGGAGGCTGGGTTGGATGACTCATTCAGGAGCATCTCTTTAGATGCTTATAGGAGTGACTTCTTCGTAGCTTCTCTTTTCTCCAAAGCAGGTATCAAAGCACGAATGAAATTGCCCCTTGGTCAAGGGTCCAGCGTGATTTCAGGCTATTTCCTGTGGACTTGGGCCAGTGTTGGGTGGAGACTGTATTGCACCTGGAGGTAGGAGGGTAGGGCATCTCTGTCCTTGAAGTTAACTTGCAGCTACCTTTATATTCTAACTCCATGTTCCCTTCCTTTCCCTGCCTCTGAAGCAGGAGGTTGGGCTCCACAAGAGCAGTGTACTTGGCTGGGCTCTGGTCAGCTGTGTCTGCTGGGGGTGGGGACGAAGAGCCCAGTCAGCACCGTCACTTCCCATACGCATTTCCTGTTTCATGGCCAAGAGGCCCTCGAGGAAGCGGGGTGTGGGAGAAAGTGAGGGCCAGCTCTCTTTAGGCAGTTCCTCTGCTTTTTGTTTCTTTCTTCTTCATTCAAACCAGCCACCCCGCCTCCCCCACACCCAATACAGAGAGCAGATCATGGCAAGATGGGGTTTGCTGGTGGGTAAAAGGAGGAATACAAGTGGATGGATATGGGAGTAGAAAAGCAGTAGGGATCCATGTGTTTTCATTTCAGAGTTTGTTGTAATAAAGGATGATGAGCTGGCTTTTGCCTGCCCACTTGCCTGGCACAGGGCTGCAGGCTGGCTCTGAACCAGAACGAGTCCCTTAGCCTCTCCCAGTTTGGTATTGTGACCCACAGTTACTCTGAGGGCAAACTGTGAATTTTAATTAGGGGATCCCATTCCTTTGTGGCTGTGGCAGCCTCAATTGTCCTTGCTGTTTGGAGTTCTACTTGTATGACAGAAGCAGAGCTCCAGGGGTTAGAGGTAAGGGTTGCAGGAGGAAGAGAAGGGGCACGAGGGCTGCTGCAGGCAGAAGTCCAGTGGGGAGTAAAGGATGGGTGACTGGCTGAGGAGCATCGACAGATCTGAAAGATTTGGGGAGGATGAGATACAGGAGCTTTAGCCATTTTGTAGGGTGCTTTTGGAGAGTACGCTTGCGTCTTTAATTATTAACTAAGCACTGGGATGGCTTAGAGTTATGGGTGCATTTTTGCCCAGCTCTGTGATAAGATTTGATTATTTATTGTCTTATTAGGCAGAAAAGCAAGTGCTTGTATGAGACAGGAATGTCCCTTTTCTGGGAAGAGCAGAAAAGAGTTTGGGCAGTGAGTAGAAAAGGAAGGATGTAAGGACATGGAGAAACAGACAGAAGGAAGGACTACCATTCTGTGAGGCTGGTCTTTCCTGCTTCTCAGGATGAAGTAGCCTCAGGTGAGAAAAATGCGGCCAGGACACAGCAAAATGGGAGAAGTAGAGACAGTGACGGACACACCACTGCCAGAACTGAGACGGCGAGTACTTCCTGACTATGTGGATGACCTGAAGCAAGCAAACCCAGTACTGGCCTCACTTTCTCCACTGATAAGGTGGGCTGACTCTGACTTGCCCTTGGAACCCTTGGGAGAAGGACTGTTGAGCCATCTTCCTGTGCTCCAGGTGCTGAGCTGGGAGGGAGGGAGCAGCGAAGCCATTCACTCTGCCACAGTGGGGAAGCTGTGGTGTGTGTGTTTCCTGCTTGTTTAAGAGGTTGGTGGGGGACTGAGGAACATTCTGCTGAATTTCAGAATTGTTTCTTTTGATTTTATTCCCTGCCACATCCTGGGGCTCTTATTGGTCAACCTCATAGCATGTGCTGGCTTCTCATCTTGAATTTCTTCCTCTGAAGTGGATCGTAACTTTTTGTGGGAGGTAATAAATTTTTCTGAGGTTGTGACAAAAGTTGTGGACATTAAAAAAAAAAGATTTTATTTATTTTTTAGAGAGAGGGGAAGGGAGGAAGTAAGAGGGAGAGAAACATCAACGTGTGGGAGAAACACTGATCGGTTGCCTCTTGCATGCCCCAAACTGGGGACCTGGCCTGCAGTCCAGGCATGTGCCTTAAAGGGGACCTTAACTGGTAACCTTTAGTTTGCAGCCCAACCCACCGAACCATGCCAGTCAGGGCTGGACTCTTTCCTTAGAAAAACACATATACTTTGGATATATCTACATAACACTTTATAAAGAACATCAGGCCTAATGGAAGCCCTAGGTTAAGAACTCTGGCTCTGAAGGATTGCCCCTATGTCAGGGGAAGGACTTGAGGAACGTCTGTGGCTCTTGATTTTTCGTTGGTCAGGAAAAATGCCCTGTCCCCATTTTGTAGGAATCTTGGTTCCAAGGATCTTTCCAAACACAAACACAAGCAGCTGAGCTGGCAGGCAGTAGCAAGAAATCTGGCCTGCATCCTAATCCTTGGCCACATGTCCTGACCTGCTAGCCCAGACATTGGATAAGTCATCACAGCACTCATCAAGGTTAATAGTAATACCACAGCACCAGACTACTGGGTCCTGGAGCCCAGATTGGGGGTAGGAAGGGTGGGAAGGGAGGAGAAACTGCGACTTTTCAGAGACAGCAGCCTTAACACATCCTAACTCCCTGGAGCTAAGTCGCCTCCCCCTGCTGCGAGCATTTGTGTATGTAAGCAAATCCAGTCACTTTGTGTCACCTGTTTGTCATCCCGCTGAGGGTGTGTCTGTCTGTCTGTGCCACTATGTACACAGATGCTTGGCAAGTTCTTTTACATGCTGCTGGTGAGGACATCCTGGGCAGAGGTTTCCAGTACAGCATAGGTCTGAGCCCAACACTTGGCTAAAGGTCTATTTGGTGACTGGTACTGGAAAAATTGCTTGGAAGTCTAAGGCCTTCTGGATAGTACAGCCAGTTATCAATCAACATTATTTTTCTTTCAGGTCTCTTAACCTTCATTAACTGTGCCTATGTCAAGTGGGGAACAATGGTGCAAGATGTTTTCACCTACACTAAAGTATTGGCTCTGATCGCTGTCATCATCGCAGGCATCGTGAGACTTGGCCAGGGTGAGAAAATGTAGTATCATCATATATTTGTTAAGCATTTTCTACGAGTCATCTTCCTCTAAGTGCCATTTGTGCATTATCTAATTTGGTAGGTCCTATTATTCTCGTTTTATAGATGAGAAAATTAAATCTGCAGAAATAAGTATCTTGCCTAAGACCCTAACTGTTAAGTAGTGGAGCCGAAATCTGCACCTAGTTACTGACCCTAAAGCCTGTCCTTCACCTTCTATGTGTGCTGCTTCCCTGAGGGGGATGGGCACAGTGAAAGGGCTGCCAGCCATTCACTGGGGGATAGCTTTTGCTGGCTGTGAAGCCCAATGCTGTGGCTACAGGAGAAATGAACTCCTTGTACCCAGTCCTCTCGTTTCCATGTCTGAACACCTACTCTACAACTACTCTGTTGACCTGGGCATATTGAGACCTGCCCTTCCTCCACCCCATATTAGCTCGGTTTGGTGTTAGACAGTGAGAACAGAACTGCATCACTCCTGTTCTCTAGCCCTTTTATTCCTAGGAAGCCACACTGGGGCCTTCCTGTCAAGATCCCCATGCTGTACCCTGCAGTTGGCTCATCACTGTAGATGTGTCTTTTCTGTTCCCTGCTCCTTCACTGACCCCTTGCTGCCAAAGGTGTTCTAAGCCACATTCTTCCACTCCTTTTCTGGATCACCTTGAAGTTGGGAAATGGGTCACTAGTCCTGCCTTCCCATGTTCTCTGGGTTCCAGGAGCCTCGAATCACTTTGAGAATTCCTTTGAGGGTTCATCATATGCAATGGGCGACATTGCCCTGGCACTGTACTCAGCTCTGTTCTCCTACTCTGGCTGGGACACCCTCAACTATGTCACTGAAGAGATCAAGAATCCTGAGAGGTAGGTACCTCACCAACATTCCGTGGCAATAATGACAGCCATCATTTACTGTGCTTCCACTGTGTGCCAGACAGCATACCACAGCCAGTGAGCGAGGTTTTCATCAGCCCCATTTTACAGATAGGAGACCCAAGGTCCAGACATGTAACTTGTCCATGACCACAGTAAGAGCTGAGATGTGAACTTTCTTGTGTATGTTTAAAAAAATTTTTTAAAGGCTTTTTCCAAAATTAAAAAGGGCCTTTTTACATTTGCTTATTCATCCCTGTATTAAGGCAGGTTGTACCATGTGGTCATGTATGCTTCTAACACAAAGATTTTCCTTGGTAGGTTTTTCACCCACCCTTATCCCCACACAAAGAACTTAAGTTCATAGATTCCCGGAAACCTTCCCTTTGTTTCTCAAATTCATGGCATAGTTTTTTTGTTTTTTTTCCATTCAAAGGTATCACCTCACCGCTGTCACTCTAAATTACCTTCTAGTCCTGCAGAGTGAAGAGCACTGGACAGGGATTCAAAGGGTCTGGAGCTTCTTCCCACTGTTTTGTTGGGTGACCTTGAGGATGTCCATCTGTCTTTTTTATCTCTAGTACAGGAGTTGAATTACATGATCTCCAAAGTCTTTCCTGGCTCTGTAATTCAATGATTCTGGGAATTAAGATTTACCAGGGAGTGGGATTTCTATAAATTTTTAGCTAAAATAATCATTTTTTTGGCTTTGAGAAACAAATACTCCTGGTACACTTCCAGTGTTGCAACCCCAGGCAGGAGGAGATAATAGAAGCAAGATGAGGCTTAAGTGCTGCTTCCACCTATTGGACAGAAACTGAATGACTTTCAAGTGTTTCTTCCACCTCCTCCCCACAGTCTCACTGTGAAGTGTTACAAAGATCATGGCTTCATTGGGGGCAGGGGTGTCCAACCTTGCTGTGTCTCTCTGTGCCACACTGGAAGAAGAGTTGTCTTTGGCCACTCTTCGTGTCACATTAAATACATCGTGACATGTAATCACAAAGCACCTCATGTTTTAGGTAAATTTACAATTTTGTGAATTGTAAAATTCTCAGCCATCCTGGCCTACATGTGGCCTGCAGGCCCCAGGTTGGACACCCCTGGCTAGAGAGACCTCGAGAGGTCTTTGCATCTCTCTTGGTACTCAAGCTCCTCAAACTGAGTAGGGGTGGGGGGGTGGGCATATTTCTTAGGTTGCTTGTTCAGATACACATTGTCCTTCCTGCTAGGGGACTATCTTATTCTATGGTGACATGAGATTTTACAACTTGCCTCCATAATTTCTTCTTATACAATATATCTCAACCTTAAGACAAATTTGTCAATATTTACATTTTTTTCCAATGTTCACAATTTCAGAGATTCTTGGGTGTAAAAAAACCCAACCAACCAACGCCTCCCCGCCCCCAACCTCCTATCTTCCTTTGCTATTATGTGACATACTTTTTTTTTTTTTTGCATAGTAGCCCTTTCTCCAAATGTGACATTCCTCTCCCTTGATGCCCTTTAGTTCTTAAGAGTTCAAAGCTTAAGTCACTATCCTAGGCAACAAAGGCAAAGGCATTGGTGGAATAATGTGTGACAGGGTCTAAGGATTAAAGGAGATGGGGATGCAACTGTAGGACTAACGTATCTATTATTCTGTTTGGCTGTAGGAATCTGCCCCTCTCCATTGCCATTTCCATGCCCATTGTCACCATCATCTACATCTTAACCAATGTGGCCTATTACACCGTGCTAGACATGAGGGACATCCTGGCCAGTGATGCTGTTGCTGTGGTAAATGATTTGCACTAGCCAAGGCTGGGGGTGTTTGTGGGCTTCTAGGTATAGCGCTGCTCTTGAAAGGCCCAGAAGAGGGAGTCCTTGGAAGGATACTGGGGTACAGGACTTGCAAGGAGGTCCTGTTACCACTGTTGTGGAAGAGTTGGGTTCCAAGTAGTGGGAATCTTGGGGCATGCCTGCTATGCCTTTCATTACTAATGACTCTTTTCCTTAGACTTTTGCAGATCAGATCTTTGGAATATTCAACTGGACAATTCCACTGGCAGTTGCACTATCCTGCTTTGGTGGCCTCAATGCCTCCATTGTGGCTGCTTCTAGGTATGAGTGGTATCTTTTACTGGCGGGTATTTTGAAAGCTATGGCAGGGGAAGGTAAGGCTTACAGGACCCAGACTTCAGTCACTGTGCTCCCCAAATGTCATTTACGGCCTCTGTGCTCGTTTCCATCAACAACATCTAGTTCTTACTAATCTCAATACTGAACTCCATCCACACTCTGGGGTGGGGGATGGCAGAGGGAGGGCTGTGTGTCACATAAACTAGGCCGTACCCATTGCCCCACAAGTTTCTCAGTTTCTCCTATCTTACTCAAAATAGGCTTTTCTTTGTGGGCTCAAGAGAAGGCCATCTCCCTGATGCCATCAGCATGGTTCATGTTGAGCGATTCACCCCAGTGCCTGCTCTGCTCTTCAATGTAAGTGATCTCCAGGATGGGGCTGAAAGCCACATGGTGGGGGAAACAAGTAGCAGCAGATGCAACTGTCCTGGCTTCCTGAAAGCTCTCCTGGACATTCTAATGGAAAAACTAACAAACATCCACTGTGGGCAAGACACTGTGCTAACTGCTACAGCAGTTCTTAGGACAGAATTTACTTTCTTTAAGGAATGGTAACCTCCTTTGGTTCAGAATAAGGCATAAAACACATCAGTTACATTTTAATAACTGCCATGATAATGAGTGATGTAGCAGTTAAACAAAGAAACTATCACTTCTGTGGGGGTAAAGGGTGAATAAGAGGACTTTAAGTGTACTCAAAGTAAGGTTTTTAAGGTTAGGGTTGCAAACAGATCTCTCTCCTAGGCTTCAGGTTAAGGGAAACAGCATCAGAGAGCAGTATGGAGTTAAAGGTAGGTTGGAGCCATTATGGGGAGGCTTAGGCAAGATTTTGAGGAATTGTTTTGAGCTCTGCTTTATAGGGGGTTAACTTGGCAAAAGCTTTAATGCACCGAAAAGAATTCCCCTGAGGCTATTGACTTAATGTTGGGTTGGCCAAAAAGTTCGTTTAGTTTTTTCTGTATGATGGCTGTAGTAGTGCTTGTTTTTCATTTGAAACAATTGTTAGATTGTACTTTAACAGCTGTCACATCAGTGTGCATTTAAAAGAAACATCAAAATTGATGAATTTTTGTTTAGCCATTTTAATATTGAAGATGATGATGCACATTTTTTCGCACATTATGCTTTATTATTTCAAGAATGGTAAAAATTAAACTGAAACACAAAGATTTGTGTAGTGTATGAAGTTGCTATGACTGATTGAACGTGTCAAAAGTGGTTTGCAAAGTTTCTTGGTACTACTATTGACATTTTAGCCAAACAATTCTTTGCTGTGTATGTATTGGCTGTTTTATGTATTGGAAGATGTTTAACAGTATTCCTGGCCTCTACCCACCACAGAAACCAATAGCGGGAGACAGCGGACTAAAAATATCCAAATTAATAGTGTTTGGTGAAAATGAAAAACGTTTTATTTTATGGAAAAAATGAAAGACTTTTTGACCAACCCAAGAGAAAAGGAATGAGCAAAGGAACTCACTTGCTAAAGAGGGTGGGAACAAAAAAGTACAGATGGGGAGACTGAGGACTTAAGAGGGATTTGGTAAAGGGGAGTGAAAATCCTTGAATAAAAAAAGGGCCTGAGGAGCTGACTTGTGCTTACAGGGTATCATGGCATTGGTCTACTTGTGTGTAGAGGACATCTTCCAGCTCATTAACTACTACAGCTTCAGCTACTGGTTCTTTGTGGGGCTGTCAATCGTGGGTCAGCTTTATCTGCGCTGGAAGGAGCCTGATCGACCTCGTTCCCTCAAGGTAACTCACCTCCAACCTATCTGCTCCATCTGTTCTGGGGATGCTTATGAGATGGTTTATTCAGACCTTTGGTGGCAGTATGCTGAGATGAAAGGATTGGGAAGGCAGCTCAGTGCTCTGATCTTCACTGGAGGTGGGGTTATTTTGGCTGTCAGTCCTGACCTTAACTTCTAGTTGTTTCTTCTGTGCCCTTAGCTCAGCCTTTTCTTCCCCATTGTCTTCTGTTGCTGCACCATCTTCCTGGTGGCTGTTCCACTTTACAGTGATACTATCAACTCCCTCATCGGCATTGGCATTGCTCTCTCAGGCTTGCCCTTTTACTTCTTCATCATCAGAGTGCCAGAACAAAAACGACCTCATTGCCTCCGAAGGATTGTGGGTAAGATTTGGATCTTCAGGTTGACTTGGCTAATGCCATCCCCCCCCTTATTTTTACCTTTTCTGTAGATCCTGTCCCAAGTCACCTTTACCCTAGCCCCTTCCTGTTGTTAACCTTAAGGTTTAACTGAATTGTCTCCTGTGGCCCAACCTCATTCACTGACACTCTAACTCAGTCCAGTTGACATCTTCTGAATCTGATTCAAACTTCTCTTTGTAGCATCTGCAACATGGTACCTCCAGGTCCTATGTATGTCAGTTGCTGCAGAGATGGATTTGGAAGATGAAGGACAGATACTCAAGCAACAAGATCCCAAGTCTAACTAAATAACATCCAGAATCCTGAGTAGTGAAAAGCAGGGGCCTCTTGTCTTCTACTGGCTGGAGCCAAGGAAGTTGAAAAGGAAAGCTTACTTCTTTGGAGGTACCTGTTCAGAAGCCTGGTCTAGGCAGCTTCAACATTTGAACTTGTTTTTTGGGAGATAGACTATAATTTATTTGTTTTGCTACATATTGTTCCAGATTTAAAAAAATGGATGATAAAAGCAGCCTGTGGTGGGAGCATGTGCATGTCAGGTGTGGGCCTTTTTGTTCCAGTAGCATATTCCCATGTGTTAAAATATTCATTCAACCCCTGGGTGTGTACCTACCCACTTGTTTCCTTTAAAAGAGCCAATAATGCTCTGAATTTCCTGTCTCCTTTAGAGACATGAAACTGTATAGGCACTGGACAATAAAAGGGTTATGTTCCTAAGGTCTGTGTGACTTCATTTTATACGGTCTCTGGGGCAGTTTCTATTAGCCTGGCAGGGAGACTAAAAACAATCTAATACTTGAAAGTATCCAAGTATTTCTTCCCTCTCAAGCTAGTTACTGAAGGCTGATGCAACCAATCTCTACACTTGAGCGGCTGCAGCGAAACATTAAGGTTGTTAGATAGAAACTACCACTGTGAATTTGAGCACATCTTTGAAAAACATTTTAGAAGTAATGTTGGGGTAAATAAACATGGTTACTCTACTTAGATATAATCTCAACTACTCAGCAGGCATCTCTCTATGACTGGCAAGGTAAATGTGGCTGAACACACATCTACAGGGTGGGGCTCTAGGCTGTTGACACCAGGCCACTACACTGAGACACTTCCAAAGAGCATAGGCCATCAAGAGCAATCACCACCGAGAGCTGGAGTGCACAATCTAGCTCTCTGTTTAATAAGTACCAGGAAGCAACATATAATACAGAGGTTGACTAATTCTGTGAATGGGAAGATCACTTGGCTCCCCAGTACTCTTTAACTTGGATGTAAGAGTTTATAGTGGAATCCACTTTTAAAATGAACATCTCGATGCCCCAAAGTTTCTAAATCCGGAGCAAGGACCCGATGTCAAATCCTGCTCTAAGACCAAGTCTTTGAAGAGGCAGAGTTAACATCAGTACGAGCAGGTAACAGAATTCAGCCAAGTGTGTCGCGCCAGGGCTGCTTTGACTTTGGTTTGTCGCCGCTGCTGTTAGAGGTGTTGGGACTGGGATTTTTCCCATGTTGTAGCAAAGGGTTGTGGGTGAAGGTCTGTCTTAAGGGACCTGGGGGAAGAAGAGAAGCTCAATGAACAAAGGAAAGGGAGAAACAATGGCAGAATTTAGCCTGAAAGGAAAACTTACCCCTGGCTGCTAGCTCCAAGTGATTCTGCATGCGCCGTTCACGCTCTTGTAGCTGATAGGTGATTTCAGCATTCTTCCAGCCTACATAAGGAAGAGTAAGACAGCTGACCTCATGCCCATTTTTAGACCACTCTCCCCTGTTCCTAATTCGCAGAGGGCAGGCCCTTACCTCTTCTGAAGCTCTTTAAGAAGTTTTCTCGTGGAGGTAATTTGCTAGAGTCATGCACAACACGCTGGGGGATTTTAAGTGCAGTGCGTACAGCTGGAATCCGGAGGCAAGCCACCTGGACCAGGGAAAACATATTTGAGGAGAACCAATACACGAACACCGCCTGGAAGAGAAGGAAGAGAAGGTACTCAGGAGCTGCATCCCTGGTCAGCTTGCTGGGCAGTGGCTGGGCTAGCTGGAAGGACTTTGAGCCAGCCTGGAAGTCATTACCCACCGAGGGAAAATGCACTGTTATGGGCAAGACTGCCAGGGGCATCACTCTCATAACATTTCTCATCCACTGAAGGTCAGCACTTTGCACACCAGTCTCAGCACCTAGCTAGAGAGAGGGGCGGGGGGAAGCAGAGGAAGAGTAGCAATTTTAGCGACCATGGTTCATATTTATTACTCATCGACTCTTATTTCTCTAGGGAGAAATCACTTTAGCCCTAATCCTAGTTCACTTAGCAGACTTGGCACTTAGCCAACGGGCTTACCTCAAGGACACCCCACATTGTAGCTGTGACTACCAGTGGTAATATGTAGGTGGGGTCAGATAGTGTGAGATCCTGGAACCACCAGAGGCCACCTGTCTGCAGGCTGGGCACCGGAAGGTTGGCCATTTCTCTCAAGGCAATGAAGAAGGAGATGAAGATTGGCGCCTATTACACAGGATAAACAATGTCAGGACCTCTTATCAGAGGGGACATTTTTGTTACTCCATTATTGAAAACCATGTATAATAAATATTAACCATCACCTGCTTTTTGGGGGTCTAGGGCATGGGAAACAAGGTAATCTGAAACAGAAGGTTCAGGGTAAAATAAGAGTGTAAATGTTTTTGCTTACCTGAGTCAGAGGTAGAATGAGAGGTTTGAAGAGTTTAATATCATGCTTTTTCTGATACAATACCATCTCTGAGGAGGCCCTGTAAACTGTGAAGTGAGGGAAGTTAGTGGTTGGGCAGTTACATAGGTGGAGGTGACCATCCTCCTCATCTGGCCCACGACATTTCTAACTGACCCTGGCCAGTCACTGGAAGCACACCAGGGCCAGTCACCTAATGGCCCAAGGAGCAGGCAAATCTTTAGGATGTGCCCCACAGTAGTAACTCATGACTTAGACTGTTCCTTTCCTTCAGCAGAATGTTAGAAAAAGTATAAATGTGCCCCTCTTCCACACTCATTCTTTAATTGACTCACACTCAGCATGGTCTCCTGCCAACTTGGCCTCTCTCACTCGAGTGGAAAACTTCTGGATCTCTGGCAAGTGGTTGTGGATTTTGGCTGCCTCTCGTTGGCCCTTCACAATGAGAGGAAACACCAGGCAGCGGGCAAAGACTGTACCTGGAAAACACACACTAGGGTTGGAGTAAAATTAAAGCAGTTCAGCAGCTAGAAGGTTGAAGATTTTTAGGTTCTCTCTTATTCTAGTTTTTCCCACACTGTGACTCATACCCAAGGGGCCCAAAACAAAGGGTAGGAGTATGAGTTAGTTCCTTTAAGGCTCAGTCCTCTGCTTTACCATCACAACAGTCTAATATTAATTTCTCTAAGCAATTAACCAAGAATTTCATTTGTTTCTTTGAACAAAAGGTGACAGAAGCTACTTTTCTAGATCAGTGGTTTGCAAACTTTTCTATCATCAACAGAACACTCCTCGTCCTCCAAACTCTTAAGTGTAGTTCTAATATGCATAATAGATAAAAATAATCTGGCTATAGGACTGTTTAAGTGCTGGCCTTTGCTCTGCTCAGAGGTACCCTTGTAGAACTCTGGGTTCCCAGGTATAGAGTGTGAAAGCTTTTGACTTAGAAACCTCTAAAATAGGAGGTTATATGATGTCCTACTGCTTAAGTGCCTTATTTCTTTCCTACCCCCTAAGATTTTATTTATTTTTAGAGAGAGGGAAAGAGAGGGAGAGAAACATCAATGTGTAGTCGCCTCTTGCATACCCCCTACTGGGGACCTGGCCCGCAACCCAGGCACGTGCCCTGACTGGGAATTGAATGCTTTGGTTCACAGGCTGGCACTCAACCCACTGTGCACACCAGCCAGGGCTCTTTTCTATTTCTTTTTATTACACTTCACATTTTCTGATCATTCCAACAAATATTTATTTAGTTTATGGTATCTGTAGACAAGTGGATGTAGGCTAAAAAAGATGGGGGCTGAGGGGAGATACAGGTTTAGGCTTTACCAACATTATGATGGATGACGGGCAGTGGAAAGAGGAGAGAGCAAAGGATGGAACCCAGAATACCATTCTGGGTAGGTAGGGTATTGGGCAATGGAGATGGGAAAAGTGTGGTCAGAAGGATAGGAAGAGAGTACAAAATGCAGGGTCCCAGTGCTGGGAAATAAAGCCTAAAAGCACCAACTGAAAAAACTCTTGGGGTCGAGGTGTCGGGAGAGGCTCCCAGGCTCACAGAGAGTTTGTTGGAGAGACCCACAGGGTTCTAGAGGGTGCACAAGCCCACATATCTGGGAACTAGCACCAGAAGGGCCCAATTTGCTGGTGGGAAGCAGCAGAGAGGACCGAAATCCGAGAGAGCGAGCGTGGAACAAGCGGCATTGCCCCTCTCTGACCCTGCCCCCACAGTGTCACAACCCAGCGACCTGGGGAGCCCCGCCCTAGTGAACACCTAAGGCTCTGCCCCTCATACGTAACAGGTGCAAAAAGACCAAAACATTATGGTTCAAGAAGAAGAATAGCTCAAAGCCCCAGAGCCAATACTTCTAAGCAACTGAGATAGCCAACCTATCAGATGCACAGTTCAAAACACTGGTGATCAGGATGCTCACAGAACTGGTTGATTTTAGTCACAAATTAGAGGAACATATGGAAGCTAAACTAATTGAAATGAATGGAAATACACAGGAAACTAATAGTAATGGAAAGGAAACTGGGACTCAAATCAAAGGAGTGGACCAGAAGGAGGAAAAAAAATGACCAAACAGAAAAGGATGAAGAAACAAGAATTCAAAAAAATGAGGAGAGGCTTAGGAACCTCCAGGACATCTTTAAACGTTCCAACATTCGAATTATAGGGGTACCAGAAGGGGAAGAGGAACAGCCACCAGGGGAAAACTTATTTGAACAAATCATAAAAGAGAACTTCCCCAATCTGACAAAGGGAATAGACTTCCAAGAAATCCAGGAAGCTCAGAGAGTCCCAAAGAAGTTGGACCCAAGAAGGAACACACCAAGGCACATCATCATTACATTAGCCAAGATGAAAATGAAGGAGAGAATCCTAGAAGCAGCAAGAGATAAGGGGACAGCCACCTACAAAGGAGTTCCCATCAGACTGTCAGTGGATTTCTCAAAAGAGACCTTACAGGCAAGAAGGGGCTGGAAAGAAGTATTCCAAATCATAAAATCCAAAGACCTACATCCAAGATTGATCTATCCAGCAAAACTTTCATTTAGAATGGAAGGACAGATAAAGTGCTTCTCAGATAAGATCAAATTCAAGGAGTTCATCATCATCAAGCCCTTATTATATGAAATGTTAAAGGGACTTATCTAAGAAAAAGAAGATAAAAAAGATGAACAGTGAAAGGACAGCAAACTCACAGTTATCAACAACCACACCTGAAACAAAAGCAAATTAAGAGGACAGGTAGATCAGGAGCAGAACCATAGAAATGAAGATCTCATGGAGGGTTAGCAACAGGGGAGTGGGAGGAGAAGGGGGGAGAAGGTACAGAAAACAAGTAGCATAGATGGTAGGTAGAAAATAGATAGGGGGGAGGGCAAGAATAGTATGGGAAATACAGAATCTAAAGAACTTGAGACATGTGTTCATAAACTAAAGGGGGGGAATGGTGGGGGAGGGGGTGTGCAGGGTGGAGGGGAATGAAGGGGGGAATAGAACAACTGTAATGGTATAATTAATAAAATATATTTAAAAAAAGAAAAAGAAGGTAAAAAATATGAAGAGTGAAAAGGACAGCAAACTCACAGTTATTAACAACCACGGCTAAAACAAAAGCAAACTAAGCATACAGTTAGATCAGGAGTAGAACCACAGAAATGGAGATCAAATGGAGGGTGAGCAACAGGGGAGTGGGAGGAGGGGGGAAGAATCTACAGAGAGTAACTAGCATAGACAGTAGATAGATAACAGGGGGAAGGACAAGAATAGTATGGGAAATATAGAATCCTAAGAACTTGTGACACATAGATATGAACTAAAGGGGGGAATGGGGGAGTGTGTGTGCAGGGTGGAGGGGAATGAAGGGGGGGAAATGGGACAACTGTAATGGCATAATCAATGAAACATATTTTTTAAAAAAGTAGATTTAGCAATGATGTGACTGGCAGTTAGAATAAAGTGGTATTAGTAAAAGTTAGATTGTTGAGGGTTAAAGAGTGGAAAGTGCCCTGGCTGGTGTAGCTCAGTGGATTGAGTGTGGGCCTGTGAACCACACAATCGCGGTTCGATTCCCAGTCAGGGCACATGCCTGGGTTGCAGGCCAGTTCCCAACAGGGGACCCACGAGACGCAACCATACACTAATATTTCTCCCTTCCCCTCTAAAGATAAATAAAAAATCTTAAAAAAAAAAAAAGAGTGGAAAGAAAGAAGCAAGTCCACTGGATACAGAATACTCCTTTAAGTAACAGGTATGAGCCATGGCTGGTGTGGCCTAGTTGGTTGGGGCATCCAACAGTTAGCTTAACCAACAGTTTGATTCCTGGTGAGGGCACATATGCAGGTTGTGGGTTTGAACCCTGGTCTGGGCACATACAACACCATGTCTGGGTGTGTGCTGGAAGCAACCTTTCGATGTTTCTCTCTCTCCCTTCCTCTCTCTCTAAAAGCACTGAAAAAATATCCTCTGGTGAGAATTAAAAAAAAAAAACCCCAAAAACCAAACACCCCAAACCAAACCAAAAAAACCCAACAACAATACCACAGCTGTGAAAAGAAGGAAAAAGATAGAATAGTTAAAGATGAACTAAGGATAAGGGGAAAAAGATTTTTCTGCAAGAAGCACATGATATACTTGAGCATGTTTATGTTTGGACTAGGGCAGTAAAGAGGCAGAAGCTGAAGACACAGGGAGATAAGGGATGATTGCTGGAGCAAGGTGTAGGAAGATAGAGAATTTGAAGCACAGTTTTAGCCTACAAGAGGAGCGATGTGAGTGTCTTCTCAATTTTGGGTTGAAGTACTTCATCGGACCTCCTTTCCTAACCCAGAGCAGCTTCATCATTGCTAACAAGGTCCCCTTTCTCTAATCCCATGCTTGCATTCAAATATTTACATTTTTTGAATTGCAGATGTTGTAGTGATTTTACAAGTCCTTTAGGAAATACAGGTAGAGTGCATGTGTGTATAATGAATGTTTATCCCTCATTTGAATCATGTTTTCTCTGACCCCTTAATCTTTTGCAACTATTTCCTGATATCCTCACAAAATTGCATTCTTTAAGTTCTGTCCTTAACTCCCCATTTCTTCCACCCTTGTCCGGGATGCATTCCTCTTACATGCAGCAATGGCCCCCCACCAAGGTAGGCCCATGTTAACATGCATAAATTCCAGTAGGTTCTGGATCAATCCTACTGGGGTGTATGACCCCAGCCCTAGTTCACTGAAGGTCTGTTCTGCAGCAGCTTGGACCACATCTGCAGTCTCGCCAGAAGCCACTTCAGTTATTGCTGTGGGTGAGGGAGTTGCAGGAATGACTGGAGGGGCCTGAACCTGTGCAGCAAAAGGAAGCAATGTGTAATATTCAGTATGGGACACAGAAATTGAGGGTCCTCTTATGATAACCAGTACTGGGTTGTTCCCTTGACTCCCTACTTCTCCTTCTCCCAGGTTAGCCTACCTATGCACAGAACTCAGCTCTTAAAAGGACATTTTATTTTGCCCCGAAGGGAGGAAAATAACTCACTTATTTAGTTTAACATTTTAAATAACTTTAACATTAAAGTTATTTCTTGTATCAGTGTTTTCCAAACTTCAGTCATTTGAGTGTTACTGGCATGCACATACTCAAACTGTTATATTCATAATTTTCCTTAAAACAACTCAGTTTTGAAGACAAAATATCTACTTGGCCTCATCCTAAGAAATATCAATAGTCATGAGATCAAGTAAATGATGTGGAAGTTACAGTTTTTCTAATACACACACACATGCCTAGAATTACATCTCATATCACCATCAGTGGCTTGGCCCTACTCTGGGAAACAATGGTATGTATGTAACATAATTCTCTTCTCAATCATTCCAACTGATCTGAAAATCTATTCCAAGCAGAAATGCTAGCATTCTGGGGAACTGGATAGAGTGTGGACTACAACTCCCCCACATTCCATTTCCTTCTAGTCAAAACAGAATAAAAACAAAAAATCAACTAATAAGCACCGCTTCTAACACTGCAGGGACGAAAGGCGTCTTACCTGGGCTTCTGCAAACGAGATCGCAGAGATACTGAAGCCACGCGGGCAAGGGGCTGCAAGGAGGGCATAGTGTGGGCGCCCGCGGCACCGGCTGGCTGAGAACAGGACCCCAGGCGCCTGCGGTTTCCAGGGCAACTGCGAGGGCGCTGCGACGCTGTGGAACTGCGCGTGGAGAAGGAAGATGGAGCTCTTTTACCGAGAGTATAAGCCGCGTATTAAGCTCATTCTTCCCGCCCCCTCCTCCGCAAGAAGCAGGTAGCCCGCTACCACAGGTGAAGACACTGTAACTCTCCACGCGCAGAAGGCTGGCCCGAAGGCATGCCAAGTCCTGCATCTCACCTACCGCAAGCCCACCCCGGACCCAAAAGTGGAGGCTGAGGTTCCCTTGGCAGGCGTGAAGCCTGTTCGAGGAACAGACTGACACGAGGCCGCTGAGCCCGCGGGGTTGAAGAAGGTAACCCTTCTGCGTCCTCACGGACCCGAGGTCAAGCGAAGCAGGTTTCCGTGAACAAGTAAGCGTCTGCTCACGACTCCAGAACGAGGGTCCCCTGGCTGGGGTCAGAGGGACACGGCAGCATCTCGACGTTCAGTCCTGGCGCAGCCTTACCTGACGCTGGCGCCGCAGCAGGCGGAGAAACTCCTTGCGCCCGCACAAGAATACCACCGCCATTTTAACGGGAAGAGGACTTCCGTTTTCGTCTGCGCACTCAGAACCGCAGTCTCGCGGGAGGAGGCCCTTTTGGAAATGGGCAGGAAGCCTCCGCTGTCGCCAGGATCCAAGGTGGTAAAGGAGTCTTGGTAGCCATGTTTGAAGTGGGTAAGAAGACGCAAAGGTCCGTATTTATAAGGTCCTGCAGAGAGTGTTTTTTAGAAGATTTAAGTTAAAAGCCACCTCAGTGGCCCCAAACTGGTGAGTTTTCTTACGTATCTAAAGCCTCAGGACAGTCTTGGCTATGCTTGGCGTGGATTTCTTTTCTTCCTGCCCAGCGATATTTGATTGTTACTGCTAGATAATAATGTCGCAGATCCAGTGAAATTTGAGGGTAGTCCGGAGTCTGACAGAAATCGAAGAAAGGCAGCTTCTAGTAAAAAAAATTACCTTTCAGGTAAAAGTGCTTTAAGAGGAGGCTTTATCTTTCCCTTCTTTCTTAGTGGAGTTGTGTGAGGAGCATCTTGTGACTATAAGGTGACAAATACAAAGATGAAAAGCTAACGTGTTGAAGGTGGTTGTATGGAAAGATAGAAAACCCTTGCATACTTGATGATGGGATGTCATTGAGCTGCTGCATCAAGCTGGAAACCACCTATGTCTAGACTTTGTTGTGTAAAAGAATTAAAAGTCTTTACCCTTATGTCTGTGTTGCTTTGGTGTTTTGTTTCTTGAAGTTGATAGCATTCCTAAAGATGTATGAGGGGAAGTAACTTTCCTCCAAAGAAGAAAAAGTACGTCTTAGAAAGGAGTAAGTTGATTATATTTGAAGCCCTACAAAGTCTTTCAATTACAAAGTGCTTTTTGAATGACAAAGTACAGTACAGTTTGGGAAAGAGAAAATAGCTTGAAATGATTTCAACCATTGCTATTTTAGAATGGTTATGAACATAGCTGACAAATAGTAACAGGCAAAGAAATTGACTATAGATTTAGTAATAATTAGGAGTGCGACCTATTTACATGTTGGAGGCTATTTTAAATGAACTTTTTTGGTTACTTGAAAAGATCAATACTGTTAGAGATGATGACAAATACTTAGGGATAGGACACTTGGGAAAAATATAACTGGTAGTTACTTTGGTGCACCCCAATAAACCATATCTCCCAGTGTTTGCACCCTTGTACAGCCTTGTACAGCTACTACAGAAAATAATATGGAGAGTATTTAAAAAACTAGAAGCAGAGCTACCATATGATCCAGCAATTTCACTTCTAGGAATAAGGAATTTTCTTCCCGGGAAAAAAAGCACTGTACTTATGAGATATCTATATCCCCATGTTCACAGCACCACTATCTATAACAGCTAAGACATGGAAAAAACCTAAGTAGCCATCCGTGGTAAGTAAATAAGAAATGTGGTTTACATATGCCCTGACTGGTGTGGCTCGGTTGGGTGTCATTCCGTAAAGTGAAAGGTTGCTGGTTCGATCCTGGTCAGGGCACATGGCCGGGTTGTGGGTTCCCTTCTGGTTGGGTGTGTATGAGAAGCAACCAGTCAATGTTTCTAACATTTATGTTTCTCTCCCTCACTTTGTGCTTCCCTTCCCCTCTCTCTAAAATAAATAAATAATTAAAAAAGAGATATAATTCAACTATAAAAAGATGGAAGTCCTGCCATTTGTGATAACATGGATGGACCTGGATGGTGTTATGCTAAGTGAAATAAGTCAGAGAAAGAAAATTACTGTATGATCTCACTTATATGCGGTCTCTAAAAAAATTACTAAACTCATAAAGAGAGATCAGATTTGTGGTTATCACAGGCAGGGGTTGGGAGTAGGGGAATTGGTTGAAGGGGGTTGAAAGGTACAAATTGCCAATAAACTCAAGATGGATAAATGATTTAAATATAAGTTGTCATACCATAAAATTTCCTAGTGGAGAACATAGGCAATAAAATTTCAGCCATTCCACACAGCAGTATTTTTGCTGATATATTTCCTAGGTTAGGGAACTAAAGGAAAAAATAAACAAATGGGACTATATTAAATTTAAAAGTTTTGGCATGGCTAAAGAAGCCATCTTCAAAGTGAAAAGGGAACCTACTGTTTGGGGGAACATATTTGCCAATGATACATTGGATAAGGATATAACCTCCAAAATATATAAGAACTTATGACTCAACAGGAAGACAAACAATCCAGTTAAAAAATGGGCAAAGGATATGAACTGATATTTTTTCAAGGAGGACATAGAGATGGTGCATAGACATGAAAAAATGCTCAACATCACTAGCCATTAAAGATATGCAAATTGAAACCATGATGAAATATCATCTCAAACCTATCAAAATGGCTATCATCAATGTTGCATCCACCAACGCGAGAGACAAATTGTCAGAAACTTTCAGGATTCAGAAATGTTATTTTATTGGCCAAAGTTTTAACCTGCACAGGGGCGGACCCTCAGAGTGTCTGGAGACACGGTGCTCATGAGAGCTGCAAACAAGAGCCGCCCTAAGAGCTTACAGCTAAGTCTTTTTATAGATGCGAGCAAGCAAGCATTGTATAGAAGCAAATGTGGCTGTTAGCTGTTGGCTACTTGGGTGGCGCGAGCATGACCTAAGCTTTCTGGGTTTTGAGTAATGGAAAAATTTTAACCTAGACACTTGGACAGGCGGTCCTCTGCTTGTTCAGCCCCATTGGTTTTGTAGTTCCGCTTTCTCCACTCCCTATGTTCTTTCTTAACTTCCTTGTGGTTTCTGCTCTAAGTTCCTTGTTCCTCCAGGCCAAGTCTCTTTAAGGCAGTCTCTATTTTATTCCCTATTTTTCTGGTTTCAACAATAAGTCAGCAAACAAATGCTGGTGAGGATGTGGAGAAAAGGGAACCTCCCTGGAACAGACTGATAGTTTCAGAAGGGGAGGGGGTGGGGGAGAATGGTGGAAGGAAGGAGGAGGGATTAGTGAAAGAAAATGTATGAATGACTCATGGATATGGACAATGGAGAGGGGATTGAAGTTGGGAGAGAGGAGTGGGCTGGGTGGAGGGAGGCAAAAGGGAAAAAAGTTGGGACAACTGTAATAGAATAAATAAAAAAAAGAAAGGTACAGATTCCAGTTGTAGATAAATAAGTACTGGGGATGTGATGTACACTATGATTATAGTTAACATTGCTGTATGGTATATTTTAAAGTTGTTAAGAGAGTAAACCCTAAGTGTTACTAACAAAGAAAAACTTTTTTTTTGGTATCTATGAGCTGATGGACATTAACTAAAACTTATTGTGATAATCATTTCATGATATATGTAAGTCAAGTCATTATTCTGTACACGTCAAACTTATGCAGTACCATATGTCAGTTTGTATGGATGTAGATGGGGACTACATCTCTGCATCCTGAATTTCTTTCATGCTGTGATCTTTGACCAGCCTCACTGTACTTAGCAAGCATATCAAAGCCTTCTAGTTGATGATTATCTGTGTTCCATAAAATACAGCCATAAGTATTTTTGTTAGTAATGGCTGGAATGGCATTACAATGGTGATAAATATCAAATGATAGTATTGATTATAAATGGTCATCTGGCACAAAACCACCAGGAGGTATGGCACGTGGTGTATACTGAATACTGCATTTTTATCTCATTGTCTTGTCAATAATTGGTAACTGAGTTATACTGTAAAAGTAAAGCACTGTGATGGGGGCTGGGTGAAAAAAATGAAGGGATTAAGCAAAGAAAAAAACCTCACAGACAGACAACAGTATGGTGATTACTAGAGGGGAAAGGATGTGGGAGGAGGTAGAAAAGGGTAAAGGTAGGATACATGGTGATGGAAGGAGACTTGATTTGGGGTGGTGAACACACAATACCAGCTACAGATGATGATCTATAGAATTGTGCACTTGAAACCTATATAATTTTATTAACAACGTCACCCCAATAGATTCTGTAAAAATTATAAAAATACTGTAACAGGGGTCTGTTAGTAGAGAATGGCTTGCACAGAACTGTTGGGTCAGCTGTCTGCTCCAGCTGTACATCCCTGTAAGTAAATTACCCTTTAATACATTCTGATATATTCTGTGGAGTTGCTGGCATTGTTCTTTAGTTTGAAGATACCTTTTTATTATGGTGAGCATTAAACCTTTGCCCCACCACTGGGCACAATTACATTTCAATAAAATTGGAAACAAGTTCTCAACACACACACACACACACACACACACACACACACACACACTGTAACAATGTGAGGTCGATGATGGATGTGTTAAGTAACCTTATTGTAGTAATTATCTTGCAACATTCATGTACGGGATGGGGCAAAAGTAGGTTTATAGTTGTCCATATGGAAAATAATATAATAATTAACTGAAAATATGCCTTAAACTTACTAATTATATATGTCAACTACATGTCAATGAAGTTGGGGAAAAAGTTCTGAGGAATACACACAAAAAATTCTACTAGAATATGTAAATTTACCAAGGTTATAGCATACAAGATCAACATACAAAAATCAACTACATTTCTATACGCTAACAATGAACAACTGGAAAATTAAAACTTTACAAGAGCATCAGAATCAAGAAATATTTAACAGTAAGTTTGACATAATATACATGAGACTTGTTCACTGAAAGCTCTCAAACATTATTGAGAGAAAACATAAAAGGCCTAATTAAATGGCTAGATACACCTTATTCATGGATTGTAAAACTCAATATTGTTCAGATGTTAGTTCTTCTAAAGATGATTCACAGCAATTTCAATAAAAATCCTGGCATTTTAATAGAAATCGACAAGTAATTAATACATTTACCATATTTTTAGGACCGTAAGATACACCTAGGTTTTAGAGGAGGAAAATAGGGGAAAAAATTTTGAAGCAAAAAATGTGGTAAAATATTTAATAACCTGTGACCCTGCTTCTCCACCAGCCAGGTAAGCTACATTCAGATTATAAGATGCACCCTCATTTCCCTCCAAAAATTTGGGGGGGATGCATCTTATAGTCCAAAAAATATGGTATATGAAAAATATACCATAGAACAGACAAAA